TTACTTGAAAATAATTATTTATTACAATTTAAACATATTGAAAAAAATTAAAAACAATTATAATTTTGGCCACAATAAACTTTGTAATAAAATTATTTTCACAATGAAAATTTACAATTATAAACAAATGTAGAGTACTTATATTATTATATATAACAGTTTAATTCATGATTAGTCTAACATAACGTATTTCAATTATCGTGGACCAGAATTTATTTAATTTCATTGAATTTCACAGAATTGTTTAATTTCATGTTGTCTTAGAGCTACATTTTGTGATTATATATTAAACTTATTTCACAGTAGATTCTAAAAAATATAACACCCTAACAAATCATTATACATAGATAACTTTTAAACTTTACTACATTGTGACAATAGCAGCATGTATTGATGACAAAACATGCTGCCATTAAACTATTAAAAAATTGACTATTGAAATCATATTGCATGATTAACATACATGCTTTACCATATATAAATATTATTACTAGTACATATTATTCTACTAATCAACAGATAAATGAAAACAAAAATGAAAACAAACTACCATTGAGGTACCAAATGAAGTTTATGTATAAAATCCTTTAAATGTATATTCATTCCAAATCATGTCACACTACTGTATATGTAGTATTTAAAATATTTTTTATCATATATATTTATAAACTTTTTATGAAAATAATGTAAAACACACTATTCTTGAACTAAAAATAGAGACATTTCCTAGAGATTCACAGTCCCACATTTCCCACATTTCCTAGAGATTCACAGTCCATCCTCTATTCACAGAACTTATCGATTCACAGAAGCCCAGGTCAATATTGGGAAAAACCTGTATATTTTGCAAATTCTATATATTTTTAATATACAGAAATTATTTTATCAGGGTTGCCACTATAATTTTTGAAGTTTTTACCTGAGTATTCCCTGAGTAAAGAACGCTTTTCCCTGAGTTGAACTCTTTAATTTCCCTGACTTTTCCCTGACTTTTCTATATTCTTTCCTGTTCTTTAACGAGATTATTTTTTTCCTTAATTAAACACAATCTTTATATTTGACAAACTAAAACTTTTACAACAACACCCACAATTAGCAAACTTATTATTATATGTATTAGCAAAATATTTTTGAAAAAAAAATATGGTACAAAATTAAAAAAAAGTAATTATTTTCCCTGAGTTTTATGAAAATTTTAGAAAATCCCTGAGTATTCCAGGTTTTCCCTGGAATTCATGCTATTTCCAGGTATTCCAGGTTTTCCAGGTTGAGTGGCAACCCTGTTTATTTATTTTATCAAACTCTGAAAACAAATAGTTTGAGATATAAAACTTTATAAAACTTTCCTAAACTTTCTGAAACAAAAATATCCAAAACAATGTTGTCAGATTAAGTGTTAACTTACTAGATTTGGATGAACCATTTCATAGAAGATTATATAACTAATATGTAAAAAACTAACATTTATTGAAGTAATGCATTTTCTGTTGTTAATCATAAATCAACACAAACCAACTCTAAAAACAAAACATAGATACTATTTAACCTCTTTAATAAATTTAATAAAGTTTTATTAAAATTTAAAATTTAATTAAATTGTATACAAAAATAACAGATAAAAAATTTATTACCAAAAAAATTGCAAATGAAAAATACAAAACACTCATGATTATTGAAAGATTCAGTTTTTGGAATATTTAGTATCAAAACTACATTTTCATTTTTATATTGCACTTGAGTAGCATTTTATGATTGTATACTTAATTTATTTCAGAACATATTCTAAAAAAATTATGTAACATCCTGTGATAATTAAAAAACATCTTAAAACCTTAAAACTCAACATTTCCCTTTTTTAGACTAGCCAAATTGTTTCTTAAACAAAAGTCTGAATGTTGCTATCAAAATATATATAAATATTTATATTTTAAAGAATTAAAAAATATATTTAATAAATAAATATATTCAAACAAAATGTGATAATTTTCTTATTACTTCAGATAAATAAAGCTAGACGTTAAAACATCTAATAATCTTTGTTATTACTTACTATTATGTACAAATAATTCACAATATAAATAATTGAAACATTTTTTCATACAAAACCTTATATTATAACTTAAAATATAAGTTACAGTATTTATAATATAAGTATGATATTATTAATTATAAAAATTATAGAAAATGAAAAACATTTATGTATTTATAAATAATATGTAAAGTTTAGATAAGGCAGTATCACTTAGTAAAACCTAACCATGTTTTGTAAAGTGTCATTAAGATTTTCTTGAAAAAGATAATTTAAATTGAAACAAACTAACTTAGTGTATTTCATTTTTGTAACTTAGTGGCTAAGCCATAACTGTTAGCACACCAAACTATAAAAACTAATTTGAAAAATTTTCAACATTTGTCTATTGCATAAAAAAATAAAAATATGTCTACAGTTTGATAAAACATTTTACAAGTCTGTAAAAAAGTAAACATTGACATACTCTTAAACTTATTAATGGTTATGAAATTTAGAGCATTTAAAAAGTATGTTAAAAGTATGTCATGTTTTTTTTTTTTTTTTTTTTTTTTTTAATTTTGTTAAATCGTTTGTTAAATAAATATCTAAATATTGCTATAAAAATATTTATACTTTTACTATAAATTAAAACTGATATGTAAATAATTATTTTTTACAAAAATATTAAAAAAGAACCAAATTAAGTTCCTGTTCACTTTAAATGCAAGTATATATTTAATCCAAATCAATCTGCGTTACTGCATATGTCATTTTAAAAGATTATATCAAATTTTCAACCATAATTTTTGCTGCAATTGTTTCACCATATGAAACCCATCTTTTACCCAGTTCAAATCCCAGCCATAACTCAGTTCCAATAATCTAGTTATATTCCAGCTAGGACCCAGTTGTTGTGGTTAAGTGGGCAGTTTATCATTTTTATTATTAATTACTATTATTTACAAGTAATTCACAATACAAATTATTTAAATATTTTTTTCATTTAAACCTTATACTACAAATTAAAATTAAAGTTATAATATTTATAATTTAACTCAAATTATTATCACTTTGCAAAACATAGTATTACTATGTTTTGTAAAGTGATAATATGACTATTAATAAGGTTTTACTAAGTGACACTGCTATATATAAACTTTAGATATCATTTATAAATGCATAATATAAATGTAAGATTTAACATTTTCTATAAGTTTTATATTTTATAATATATTACTTATAGTATGAGAAATATATTAACTATATTACTTATAAAATATGTAAAATCTTACATTTAATAAATATATGATTTTAATTTTTTTCATAAGTATGTAAAACTTGCATATTATTTATAAAAACATAAACCATTTATTATATAATTTATGTGAAAGTAAATAATATGTAAAGTTTACATACATGATTTACATAGTAAAACTTTGCTATGTTTTGTAAATAAAATTTGTCAAAGTCATTCAAAGATTTTTCAAAAAGTTTATGAAAAACTTTGATTAGAATTACACGCTAGCATTAAACTACGCTTCCCATCTTCAAACCAGCCGTAAACCATTTACGGAAGCCCAATCCCAGTAAAAACCCAGACTTTGCGGCAATATTTTTACACCATATGGGACCCATCTGGCACCCAGCCGCCGCATTCACAACTCTCCTTTAAACTAACGGAGAATTTGAGTGTCCGTTAAGAAAAAAACTTTTAACGGCTGGTTATAAAATGGGGGAAGGTTAATGGTATTCTAATCATTCCGTTTAGACTCCGTTTATTAACTACTCCGATAATTTTTTAAGTTAAAGTTTCTCTGTTAGCTAGCTCTGTTAACATATTTTCGTGCTGTTTTTGTCATGGCATTTAAGCGTTGAGATGCCAACAGACAACAAAGCTGTTTAATTGGGAAATCGCAGCTGTTGATTTTTTTATTAATAACTGCAGCGTAAATTTTAAAAATTTAATTAACACGTTATAATATAAAGATTTTTTTATAATTTGTGACATAAAAAATATTAAAACAACTTAGTGTTCAAAATGTTGCAAAACAAAATTATCACGAAATCGAAAGTTATTTTCAGCAACTATGTCTTCATTATTATTTTCAAAATTTTCAATTGGATTGTCATCTATGTCTAAACCATTTAACTCTATTGCTAAATTTTGCAATGCAACATACATAGCATTTATGGTGCAGGTTCTTTCTGGGGTCATTTTAACCTCTCCATGAAGCAAATAAAACCGTCTTTTCCACCTTCCAAACACTTGTTCAATTAAAACTCTTGTTCTTCTTAAAGATATATTATATCGACGCTGAGCTGCTGTAGTTGGACTTAGATACAGCGTTAGCAACCAACGAAAACATGGATATCAGGAATCCCCAAGTAATAAACCTTTAAAAGTGCTATCTATCATTTTTTTACCAAGCTTTGATTCTCTTAAAATTCTTGCGTCATGTGTGCTTCCAGGCCATTTTGCAACAATATCAATGAACTTTCCGTTATAATCACACACCGCTTTGACATTGATCGAATGATTTGATGATCTATTGACATAAACATATTCGCGCTTGCGTGGTTTTTGTATGCAAACGTGC